TGAAGCTTAAGCAAGACTTGGCGCCGATGGACGAAGGCAACGGTGAAAAGCAAGTAAAGTCAAGATCAATGAACCAATACGGTCACGCGATGATGTGAAGTGGATCATATCATTTGGTGATTGGTTGGTGCATGTGTTGCATCAACATTGGAGGAGAAGGAACGGAATGCTCAAGGTAAAGGTATAACTTAGGGCATTTCATTTCACCGGTCATAAGTGTGTAGAGAAGTTTATGACCGGGTTTAGGATAGATGGCCGTACTATCAAGAGGGGAAAACTTGTTTGCATATAGGTCATCTAGTGCCACTCGAGTGATCTAACTTTGCATCGTCGCTAGGATCGAGTGGCGTGGCAAGTTGAGTGGCTAATCCTTTGGAAAATATTTGTGAAAAGCTAACACACATACACATGGTGGAATATACTTTGTGATGTTGGCACATTTACAAAGGAGAAGAAGTTGGAGTTGATGTGGATCAACTCGGTAAAGAAAAGGGTTCAAAACTTCACCGGCGGAGTGTCCACCCGTACAGAAAAGATAGGGTTTCACAGAGTGCATCGGACGCTGATCATGCAGTGACCGGACGCTAGGGTCCTACATCCGGTCAGTGGCAGCAGTGAAGACACAGGCATCGGTCTTTGACCGGACGCTGGGTGGGTATGTCTGGTCCCACTGACGTGGCGGCACAGAGAAGAGGAGAAAGGACCGGACACAGATGCTATGTCTGATCGTGACCGACCGGACGTGTCCAGTCGCGGTTGAGCAGCTCTGGGAGCTTACTTGAAGTGACCAAACGCTGGAGTCCTGTGTCCGATCATGATCTAACTGACGCGTCCGGTCGTGAATGGAACCTCTCTGGAAACGACCAGACTCGGTAGAGGTGCGTCCGGTCTTAGCACTATGCTGCATCCGGTCATCACTTGACCGTTGGCGCGTGGTAGCTGACCGTTGAGATCAAGCGACTGAGGTTGAACGGAGGCGACACGTGGCGTGAATCTGTTGACCGGATGCTGGCAGGGTGCCCAGTGAAGGGGTACAACGGCTCTATTTTCGTGGGGGCTATAAATAGAAGGGGATCTCATCCTTGGGCAATTAGCTGAGCACACAAGAGCCTTGGTGGCTTATGTGGTAGTGCTTGGGAGCCCCCTAACTCACTCTAGCTTAGTGTTCATCCGATTGAGTGAGTGAGCAATTCTAGTGCAATTGCATCATGAGGTTGCATCGAGTGGCACTAGGTGGTCATCTTGTAAGCCGGTGGTGCTTGTTACTCTTGGAGGTTGCCACCTCCTAGATGGCTTGGTGGTGGTCTCCGTCGAAGCCCGCAAGGAGCTTGTGCGGTGCTCCGGAGAAGAGCTTTGTGAGGGGCATTATACTCACCCCGAGGAAGCTGCGAAGAGCAACTCTAGTTGAGCATGTCATTGAGCTACCCTCACTTCCAGGGTAGGTTCTTACAGTGCCCGATGCGCGGGCTTGGTGGGTGATACCAATTAGCCGCCAAACCACCAAGTAAGCAGTCGACACAACGGGGACGTAGCGTGTTGGCAAGCACGTGAACCTTGGGAGAAAATCACCGTATCAACCTTGTTCTTCCCATTGGTTTGCAATCCCCTTACACAAGCTTGTGGTTACTTTCGTATACATTGTGCTTGTGTAGTTGCTCTTGTAATTAGTTAGCTTGTGTAGCTCACTAGTTACCTTCTTGCTTGTGTAGCATAGAAGTAGCTTCCTTGCGTGGCTAATTTGGTTTGTGTAACCTTGTTAGTCATATTGCTTAGTTTGTGTAGCTAAGTATTTGCACTCTCTAATTTGGCATTGGTTACCTTGTTATTGAGCATTGCTAATAAGCTTAGGAACTTTGTGCTTTTGCTTACTAGAATTGTGTAGGAGCTCCCCTGTGTGCAAAATACTAGTGGCATAGGTTTGTGTGACCTTGCTCTTTGATTTGGACAGGTGAGCTCTAGCTAGCCCGACACCTTAGTTGCTTAATTAGGATCATTGCAAAGTGCTAGAGAACATAGGTAGAGGGGTGTAATCTTGGCCATACTGAATTATTTTAATTCCGCATTTGTTTCGGTTAGCCGACGCGATTAAATTTAGTAACAACTATTCACCCCCCCCCCTCTAGTCGCCATCTCGACCTTACACTCGGCAATGGCGACGGCGGCGCTCAGCTTGCTCTAGCGGGTGAAGGAGAGGCAAAGAGAGCGAGAGAGCGAGAGTGAGTGAAAGCGGTGGCCTCGCCTCTCTTATCTCCCCCTGCTGGCCCGACCAGCCGGGCCGACGCCGGTGTGCTGCTGCCACGTGGAGCGCGCGGCCTGGCGCGGTCGGCCACGATGGCCAGCCGATTCAAATCGGCTAAGTGTCGATTCAGCGACTGATAGCGCTACTTCGTTCCTCCATATCTCCTAATCCAGTTCGAATTAGCGCAATTGGTATTAGTGAAAGTTGTAGAGCTATGTGAGATCTCCAACTTTGCTTTAGGAACCATCATCTAATTCTCAATGGTTTTCAAACTACAAAGCTCTAAAGTGAGGTATTTTGAAACTGAAAACAGCTTCAACACTACAAAAATTGAGTTTTGAAAACAGCATTTTATTGATACTTGTGAGCTCTATTTGACCATGTTAGACACTAAATTAGCTCCTGACCCTTAAATAAAGTTTGTTACTCATGACAAGAACTACAACTTTTATTTAGGTCACACAGCCATGCAAACACTCTAAGCTATTGTTCAACTTTGGTCAAACTGGTAACATGAAAATGGCATTTCAAATGAAACCAACACTTAGAAGCAAATTTGGTCTATGTCATGAATATAAACATTGTTCCAATTATCATTCTAGATGTGTCTAAGGTGTTTTCATGACCTCACAACCATCTCAGACATTGGTCATACATGATTGCAAGCATAAGCATATATATATAAAATCAACATTTCATGTGATAAGGTATAAGAATGAGATAAAATTTCATATGCTCATGTTCATGAATGCTTGGATGATGCTTGTGCTCATGAAATGCAAGTGACCAAATGTAAAGCTTAACACTGGGGTGTTACAAAGCATGGGCACTTATGGTCATGTTGTCCAGGAGATTACAGCTAGATCAAATGACTTTAGGCTTGTTGATTTTGTCCATGAGGGGAGGCAATCCAATACATATGCTCAAAGTCTAGCTAGAAGTTGTGTTTATGCCAAACTTGGGTGACATGTTTGGCTTCTATCTCCGCCTGATGACGTTTGTACTTCTTACGGAACTCAATAAAGGGTTTTATTCTTCTAAAAAAGTATTTATCAACTTTAGTCCACTTCATTTCCTTCCAAAATGGAATGATTTTTGAAGACTCACGTCCACGAGGGACAAAACACAAAAGAGTACCTTTTCTGTTCTATAAATTTTAAGTCATAGACTTTTCTCGCTTAATAGTTTTTCCTATGAATTTAAAATTAGACTTCATCGAGGGTCAGCCTTAAGCCCGTATCTCTTTGCCTTGGTAATGAATGAGGTTACCAGGAACATACAAGGGGATATCCCTTGGTGTATGTTGTTCGCTGATGATGTAGTGTTAGTAGACGAAAGCCAGGTGGAAGTAAATAGGAAACTAGAGTTATGACGGCAGACCCTTGAGTCTAAATGTTTTAGATTGAGCAGAACTAAAGCCGAATACATGAGATGCGACTTTGGCGGAGTTGTACAGAGGAGGGAAATGTGAGTTTGGAAGGTCAAGTAGTGCCTAAGAAGGATACATTTCGGTATCTGGGATCGATGCTACAGAGGGATGGAGATATTGATGTGGACGTTAGCCATAGAATCAAAGCAGGGTGGATCAAGTGGCGACAAGCTTCTGGCATTCTCTATGACAAGAGGGTACCACAAAAGCTAAAAAGCAAGTTCTATAGAACGACGATTAGATCGGCTATGCTGTATGGAGCAGAATGTTGGCCAACAAAGATTCGACATGTTCAACAACTGAATATTGTAGAAATGCGTATGTTGCGATGGATTTACGGTCACACAAGAATGGATCAAGTTCGGAACGATGATATACGTGACCGCCTAGAGGTAGCACCAATTGAAGAAAAGCTTGTCCAACATCGGTTGAGGTGGTTTGGCCATGTCTAAAGGAGACCTCCAGAGGCATCAATACATTGTGGAGTCCTAAGCCAAGCTAATAATATGAGGAGAGGTAGAGTAAGACCGAAATTGATATGGAGTGAGGCAATAAAAAAATATTTGAAAGTTTGGGATATACCTAGATATCTATGTTTGAATAGGAGTACTTAGAAAGCAGCTATTGAAGTGCCTGAACCGTGACTTGGGGCTCTTGGTAGGTTTCAACTCTAGCCTACCACAACTTGCTTGAGACTGAAAGGCTACGTTGTTGTTGTTGTATATAGTAAAAATTATATATCTACAAAATCAAAATTAGATTTATATTTTTTTGAAAGGATTAGATTTATAATTGAACGAAGAGAGTACATGAAATGGCACTAACACCGTTACCATTTTTCCTTTCCTCTCGAGATGAGAGAGTACCTAATGAGTTCTCCTAAATCAAACTTTTTTAAGTTTGATTAATTTTATATAAAAGATACTAACATCTGTCATAGCAAAATAATATAATATGAAAACATATTTAACATTGTATCTAACTATACTAATTTTGTGTTATACATATTAGCATTGTTTATAAGTTTTAAAAATTGATTTAAGATGAGTCCAGAAGTTGGTTTTGAAAAATTGACTAGGGAGTAACAGTTAGCACACACCAGACTCATACCAGTCTTCATGCACGTCTGCAACACACGTTGGCTATGAGAATTCTTGCTGAATTTTCATTTGCGTATTGAAATCACAAATTCACCATCGATCTTCACATGTAGTATAGCCTGTTCAGAAAATTGTTCGTTTCTCCTGCTGTATATACCTCCTATTCATACAAACTTCCGAATTTGGAACACAACCGGAGCCGGAGCCGTATTCCGGCAACACCGCCGCCTCGTCACCTCTTCGCCGGCAGTCTGCCGTCGCCTCCTTTCTTTTTGTCGGCGGCCGGCAGCGGTGGCGGCTCCATCTGCAGCACCCGCTCGAGCTCCTCGACGACGTCCCTCATCGCCGGCCGCTCCTTGGGGTTCTTGCCGAGGCAGCGGTCGGCGAGCCTGGCCACCTCGCGCGCGGCGGCCAGCGGGTACCGCCCGCCCAGCCGCAGGTCCATGATGGCCCGGAACCCGGCGCTGTCCGGCGGGTGCTGCTGCACCCACCCCAGCAGCTTCTGCTCCTCCGCGGGGCGGCTGCGCTCCAGCGACCGCCGCCCTGTCAGGATCTCGTACAGCACCACGCCGAAGCTCCACACGTCGCTCTTCGCCGTCAGGTGCCCCGTCTCGATGTAGTCCGGCGCCGCGTACCCGTGCGTCCCCACCACCTGAGCCATCACAGCCAGTCAGTTGAGAGCTTCAGATGCGAGCACGCAATGCAATGGCAATGCAAGAAGAGACACAGTGGCCGTGGACGGTGGTGAACGCACCGCGGTGGAGACGTGTGTTTTCCCTTCGGTTGGACCCTCTCTTGCCAGGCCAAAATCCGACAGTTTTGGCCTGAATTCGGCGTCCAGAAGGATGTTGGACGCTTTGAAATCCCTGTAGATCACCTGCCACACCAAAAGACTGGATCAGATATTGACCACTTATTACAGTCTCTGTATTCTTCAAAAAATTTGCAGGCAAATTCATCTAAAAAGGCTGCGTGCATGATTTTAATGTGGTTCAGTTCAGAGTTTCAAAGAATGTATATATCCTGTCGTGCAGACTGCAATTGAATGAATCAGTTTATGCTTCAGAGTTTCAGAAAATGCATATTGTTGGTCCAGAAAGAGACCTGAACTTCTGGTACTCCTTCATGGAGGTAATCCAGACCCCGTGCGGCACCGATCATGATCTGCAGCCTCAGTCTCCATGAAAGGGGAGGATGGGCTCGGTTGAACAGGTGGTCGTCCAAGCACTTGTTGGGCATGAACTCGTAGACCAGCAACCTGTGCTTGCTTGCTTCTGAATCCACCGTGCAGTAGCCGATCAGCTTTACGAGATTCGGGTGTTCAAGAACACCTAGGAATTGGACTTCAGCCAGCCACTGCTTGTGCCCCTGAAATCAGATTATTTAAAAGAAACTCATGAACTGTTATATTCCCTAAAAATAGATAATTATATCTAATGAACTGCTATTTATTCCTTTAAAATAAATAAGCATACTTATTAAGGAACACAGGTCAACACTTGAGATTTGCGTGAAACTGTTTTCATATACTTTTATCTAATTGAAACGTTCAGGAAATTCTCTTTGTGTCCTTGTATTTAATTATTGGTGGGAGTGTGATCATACTTGGAGCATTGTTTATAGCGTGACGCTGATCATAGGTTGACTTATACTAATATTCACATGGCCCAATCTACGATTCACATTGAAAATGACATGTGTGGATGTCCTTGTCCGGTTGGTTGGACCAATATTCTCTTTGAAGCTATCCAGGCAAATATTTATGTGTTTGAGGCCCTGTTTTTTTAGAGTTAAAATCTAGATAGAATTTACCTAAAGAACCAAACACCTCCTCCTAAAAGCTTCTAAAAACTTTAGGAGAGGCCAAAAACTTTAGAAGCTCCACCCCCCTAGAGCTCCTAAAACTTTTAGCTCCCAAAAATTTTAGGAGCTTGGAACCAAACAGGGCCTGAGATTGTCATGAAGCTCAAGTTATCTATTGGCTTCACTGCAAACCAACAACCTTCCGAGTTTGATTTTAGGTCTAGATCCAAATCAGGGGGCAAAGTCTTAACGCTGGCACATCTCGGCTGTTTGTGCACCCACCAAAAAATAATGATTTTAGTAAAATATTGTAACGTTCATACACCAGAAATGACAAATCCACGGAGTTTGGCCATCTTGTGGACAGGAGGTCCTGAGAAAATTCAGTCAATATATAATACTATACATCTCTTGGAGAATGAAAAATCTGATGAAACTGCCAATTATCTTTGAAATGCTAAAGTGCAAATTACTCTGTAAATTTGTAGGGAATCCACAAATTTGCTGCTTTGGTAAGTGTGATTAAGAACTCCGATTGATCCGCAACAGAAAATTTCGCGCTTTCTGATGAACAACCTTTGACATGGCACGAGAAATACAAGCCCAAATAATGCAGACTTGCAGAGAGAGAGAGAGAGAGGAGATGCAAAGGAAGGAAGCAGGCAGCAAGCAGACCTGGAGGCTGCGCTGGTTGAGGCGCTTGACGGCGAGCACGACGCGGGCGCCGGCGGCGGAGCGGAAGAAGGCGCGGTAGACGGAGCCGAAGCCGCCCTCGCCGAGCTTGAGCGCGCGGCTGAAGCCGTTGGTGGCGCTGCCGAGCTCGTCGAGGTCGAACACCCGGAGCCGCTGCGCGCCCCTCTCCTCCGACAGCTCCTGGATGGTCCGCGTGGGCGTGGACGCCGCCGACGCCTTGGTCTTGCTGTGCACGCCGCCGGAGGAGGAGGAAGAGGAGGAGGAGGACGCCGCCGACGCCTTGGTCTTGCTGTGCACGCCGCCGGAGGAGGAGGAAGAGGAGGAGGAGGACGCCGCCGGGGCCGACTTGGCCGGTGGCGTCTGGGCGCCGGGCCGCGGGTGCTGCTGAGCTTTGGACCCGCCGCTGCTCTTGCGGCCGCTCTTGAAGGCGAAGCACCCCATCCGACGACGAGGCCGGCCGGCGGCCGGGCCGTGCACTGCAGCGCGAGCTGACGAGCCTGCCGGAGAATCTTGGGGCGGAGGAGGGAGGCACGCGGAACGGATTTGTTGGAAGAAGAATTGGCAGGCGCGTCGCTGTAGTGTACCCGATTGGGATTGGAATTGGTTGGGGGAATTGACGAGCCTCGCGCGCGTAATCTTCAACGGACTGACCCGACCGTGGAGAGGAAAGATGACGAACAAGTGTCGTGTGGAGAAAAGAGAGGATGTCGTGGGGGAGAGAGAAGTGAGGAGCTGTCTCAAATGGTGTGGCTTCCCATGGAAAAAGGAAGAAGAAGATGTCGATTGAAGCACGGAGGGGAGGGCTCACATCTCAGAAGAGGCCAGATGAGGATGGAGACTGGAGAGAGCAAGTGAGGGAAGGAAGCGGCGGCCCGGGAGGTGACTGGTGAGAGCTGAGAGGGGTTGGTCCGGACGGGAAGAAACAAGAAAGAGGCCCGCCGCGGCAGGTGCAAGGAAATGAGCGAGCACGCACACACGTGGTGGCACCGGTGCTGGTAAAAATAGGGTGACGGCGACGGCAGTGCGCGCTGTGAGGGCCGAGGACGGACTCGTGCGCGGAGGGAGTGAACAAGGGGAGGAGAGGAGGCTAGGAGGGAGAAGTTGGCGCGCGCCACCGGCCACCGGTCCACCCCCCCAACGCCCACGTTCCCCAGGCCCAAAAGGCTCGTGCCTCAGCAACCGCCCTTCTGAATTCTGATGCCACCTGCTCCCGTTTCATCAGATTTTTTTTTTAAGTTCAACCAAATACTCTCGGTCTCAGTACGAATGAAAAATTCGATTTCTGAAGATTCGAACAATATCAGAATTGACTGGTTTACAAAAGATAGTGTCAACAGTTTATAATATATATTTGTTATGATATATAATATTATATGACTAATCTAACATATTATTACGTACCATAAATAGTATTATATTTTTATAGACATTTGATCTATTTAGCTTCTTGGTAAGCGAGAATTCTATTTCACTTTTGGAGCGAAGAGTGTATACATATAGGTACTATTGGATATATTCTTAGATAAATATCTTAGACTAATATAGGAATATATAATTTAATGATAAATATGTTTGATATACAAATGTCGATAATACTTCTTGTCGGTGTTACGGACCGGGGGTCCTCAACCAACCAGTAAATTTGAACTGCGTGCCCCTAATCCCGGATGGTGATGCAAAGAGACACAAGTTTATACTAGTTCAGGCAATTGGTGCCCTACGTCCAGTCTGAGAGATCGATCTTGTATTCCTTGCACCGAAGTGCTTGTAGTAGGAGGTTACAAACTGGGTGAGAGAGGGAGCTAGTCCCAGGTCTCGGCGTGGAACGGTGCGGGCTGCTTGAGACGTTGCTCTCATGCAGCTTGGGAGAGCGTATGTCTACGTGAGCCTATCTCCGTGAGCTCGTGAGTGCCCCCGTTTAAGAACGGCCCCTGCCTCCCCTTTTATAGTTGAAGGAGGGACGGGGTGATATATATGTAGCCGCCGGCGCGGCGAAGCGGAGGTGGCGTGTCAAGTCCCGTAGCTTACTACTCAGAAGCGGCATGGTCAATAGAGTGGTCTTGTCCTTATGTATCGGAGCAACGCGCACGGTTACACCCGATTTCGTATGACGGGCGCCCAAAGGATAGCTTGACGCAGGTATGGCCGACGGTGTCTTTGGTCGCTATGGGTTGACGGTGAAAAGAGCCGAGGCTCGATTGGTGCAAGGCCGAGCCATCGTGGGGGGCTCGGTGGGCGTGAATCCCGAGGCTGCCGAGACCTAGAAGTGGATTGCCGAGGCCTTGGAGGGAGCAGTTGGTCTCATGCACTGATTCCGAGGCTACAGTGACCCGTGCCTGCTTCCCTACGTCGTGCTGCTCCTGGAGCAGGAATTAGGTAGCACAAGGCAAGACGGGCGCCGAGCATGGGTGCGATCTTCGAGCATAGTGGCCAAGATAACCCCTTTATCATCCTGTCTCACGTCCCGTCGGCCACCCTGCTGTACTACGCCCACGTGCAGCTGACGTCGCGGGAGTGGTTGGACGCGTGACGTTTTGTCATAGAAGTCGGTCGAGGCGGAGGCGACGAGGTTGTTGCCGAGCCGGCCTCGAGCGAGTCGGAGAATCGGTACTTCGTCCGAGGCTTCACTCGTGGGGCCTCGGGCGAATCAGAGAATCGGTAACCCGTCCGAGGCCTTGCGGAGCGGGGCCTCGGCACGAGAGGGCCTCGGCGAGGGGGCCTCGGCGAGGTGGAGAGTCGTTGCGACGCGTGCTTCAGGCGAGTCGGAGAATCGGCCAAGACCCTGTGATTGTCCTTTGGCTTTGATATTTGCGAGGTTTTAAGCAATCTTTTCGGTTCTTGCTTGGGGTACCCCTTCTTATGGTATCCGACAGTAGCCCCTGAGCCTTGGGGGAGTGCGAGCACTTTCCCTGAGGGTTTGTCGAGACTTGGCTTGCAGCTGCTCCCGTCGGTATTGTGTTTTGTTTTTTTAGGTTCCGATGGGTGCGCGCGTGCGCACCCGCCGGGTGTAGCCCCCGAGGCCCTGGAAGAGTGGATTTACCCCTCTAGGGGCTTTGTCCCTGTTGAGCGAGGAATTTTATCACATTTGTCGGGCCCATGAGGGCGAGTTCGAGTCGCTCGGACTTGGCCTAGTTGTAGGAAGAGCCCTCGAGCCTCTGCACGGAGCGGGAGGGCGATCAGTGGTTTCCCTGTCTTTTTTGGCGGCCCTCGCGCATCCTTTTCATTCGGAAGGAGGGGTGGAACATGTCAGGCTACCCTTGGTGGGCGCGAGCAGTGACATCTCCGGTGAGCTGTTATCGGGTAGTCCAAGTGGAGGCCCATGCCCCTATTCGATAGGGGTCGGCTTGCGGTCCAGAGACGCACTCCAAAAGTTCCAGAGGGCTTCTCTAGTGGGTCCCAGGGCCGTTCGATTGGCCCCGAGGGCTCGGTGCCTCCCTACGGTGGGATCCCATTCGAAGACTTCCCTGCTGGTCTCGAACATGACTTAGGGCTTCCCAAGCATTTGCTTGCTTAGGCTTTTGGCCATGTTCGGGCTTGCCCACAATCATCCCTGACTCTGTTGTCCTGGGGCGGCTGTCGAGACCTTTGGGGGGGGCCAGCCTTCGAACCCCTGGACCGTAACGGGCTCGATGCCCTTTTTGTCGTGTTTTTCTGAATCTCCGAGTGCGAGCTTGGGTGGCTTGCTTTCGTTTTGGGCGCAGGAAGAGCCCCCGAGCCTCCGCACGAAGCGAGAGGGCGATCAGGAGTTCCCCTGGCTTTTTAGGCGACCCTCGCGCATCCTTTTTGTTCGGAAGGAGGGGTTGTTTGCCGAGCCCATCGAGTACGAGCCTGGGTCGCTGGGTCTCAACAAGTTTGCAGGGAGAGCCCACGAGCCTCCACACGGAGCGAGAGGGCGATCAGGAGTTCCCCTGGCTTTTTATGCGACCCTCACGCATCCTTTTCGTTCGGAAGGAGGGGTTGTTTGCCGAGCCCATCGAGTGCGAGCCTGGGTCGCTGGGTCTCAACAAGTTTGCAGGAAGAGCCCCCGAGCCTCCGCGCGGAGCGAGGGGGCGATCAGGAGTTCCCCTAGCTTTTTATGCGACCCTCACACATCCTTTTCGTTCATAAGGAGGGGTTGTTCGCCGAGCCCATCGAGTGCGAGCCTGGGTCGCTGGGTCTCAGCAAGTTTGCAGGAAGAGCCCCCGAGCCTCCGCGTGGAGCGAGAGGACGATCAGGAGTTCCCCTGGCTTTTTATGCGACCCTCGCGCATCTTTTTCGTTCGGAAGGAGGGGTGGAATATGTCAGGCTACCCTCGGTGGGCGTGAGCGGTGACACTTCCGATGAGCTGTTATCGGGTAAGTCCGAGTGGAGGCCCGTGCCCCATTCGATAGGGGTCGGCTTACGGTCCAGAGACGCACTCCAAAAGTACCAGAGGGCTTCTCTAGTGGGTCCCAGGGCTGTTCGATTGGCCCCGAGGGCTCGGCGCCTCCCTACGGTGGGATCCCATTCGGAGACTTCCCTGCCGGTCTCGGACACGACTTAGGGCATCCCGAGCGATCGCTTGCTCGGGCCTTGGCCATGTACGGGCTCGCCCATAGTTGTCCCTGACTCTGTTTGTCCTAGGGAGGCTATCGAGACCTTTGGAGGGCCCAGCCTTCGAACCCCTGAACCGTAACGGGCTCGGCGCCCAGCTCCTTAGTCTGGAAGGAATCGGCTGGGGGAGTCTTCCCCTCCCATCGGCTTACAACGGCAGGCGTGCCTTTTGAGGCGGTTTCTCAGGGCTTGCTGTTGCTGCGGTTGGATGCGACGTGGTGTCAGCGAACAGGACATAACTGTGCACGCGATTAATGAGGAAAAGGCGGGCGCGTGGGCGGTGAAATCGGATCTGGATTAACTGTGCCTGGACTCGAGGGAAACTTCCTCGATTTCATCGCCTGACCGTTTTGTCCTTTCCCTGCACAAATACGAAACGAGTCTCGCCCCTCCCCTCCTTACCTTGCCCGTATTTGCCTCTTCTGCCTTCGAGCTGTTGCAAAGAACAGAGAGCATCGGGGAGAAGAGCGAGAGAGAGAGAGAGAGACTTACCGCCGTAGCCCTCATTCTCCATCACACAATGGCCGGCGGCCCTCCTGTCATCCTCCCGGCGGATCCTTGGGATCTGTCCGATGTGTCCGTGGAGACGCTGCAGTCTCTTGTCGACGACGGCCTTCTCCGCCCGATCATCGACCCTGATAGGCCGGAGTGGATTGCTCTGTTGGGCGAGCCGGAGCCGAGGCCACCCGCGTGGAACATCGTGAGCTTCGTGTCCTTCCACGAGCGTGGTCTCGGCTTACCGGTGGATTGATTCATGCGAGCGCTCCCGCATTACTATGGCGTGGAGCTGCATAACTTCAACCCCAATTCCATCGCACAGGCAGCCATCTTTGTCGCCGTCTGCGAGGGGTACTTGAGCATTGCCCCCC